ACCTTATTTATGCAAATAGCCACAGTGGTCCTCTGCTACCTTGCAGGTAAATACTTTGCCATCTCTATGAGGAAACTGCATCCTTCAGTCACAGATGGCATAAGGTACAGTACGGGCAAAGGCAGGGCAGCAGGGACACCCCCAAAGAACCTGGTCCTGCAATTTGCAGCTTGGGATTTACAGAGGGCCTAAGTGGGACATCCCCATTGCCCTTAGAGGATCCTTTACCAGCAGCCGATCGTGTGGGGTGAATGAGGCAGCAGAGCCTGCTCCCTTTTTCCCCTCAGGTGGCTTCCAAGATCAACTTTATGCACTTTAACAAAGTAGAAATGTGACAGTTTGTGCAATGGGCAGTTTTCCCAGTAATGACTATTCCAGGGGCAACTGAGGTTTTTGGAAGCAAAGAAAGCAAGAAAAATAAGAAAACTTGGCAGCAGCGTTTCATATACTAGTCCTCTGCTATATTAAGTAGTTCCTCACTGCACTTAAAATGAAATCCAGAAATAAATAAAAGCCAGACCTCATACCATGTGTGGGCAACCCCACATGATCCAGTCCTTCCCTATCTTGAGGACTTCCCTGTATGCCCTGAGTCCTGCATGTCGTAAGAGTTTCTGCATCACTCTACTGACACTCTACCCTGGAATGCTCTCTGCCTGCTTGGTTCCCTCCCCTCATTCCATTCTAATTCAAGTCTCTCTCTCCCAGAAATCCATGCCTGATATCCTTGGTCAGGTAACCCCTTCTCCGCTCTGGGTCTCTCTAATCTATTCTGCTGTTGTATTCTATCACCATTTGAAGTTTTCTGATATGTTGACTTGTTTTTATCTAAGTCTGTCAATTAGACTGTGGATATTACAGGGCAAATACCTGGTCTAACTTGCTCCATATCCTATCTGCAAAGCCTAGACCAGTGCCTGGTGCACAATGCACAGTTGTTGGGTGAATGGAATAGCATCTTTCTACTTGGAAGGTAGTTGCAGGATAAAGAATCCATTTAGTCACCTAGGGGAAACATACTCATTTAATAACTAAGTATTAAGAAGCTATCATGTCTTAGGCACTCAGGATAGAGGTTCCCTCTTGTGCAGCCAGCCCTAGAGATTTCCAGAATGGCCATGTTTCACCCATGCCTGCATAAAAGGCCCACAATGCCAGTTTTTTCAGATACTTAAGATCCAAGAGTATCAGAGTTGAATGAAACCTGAATCTTAATTAGTTTAAATACTCATATTTTTTTAAAGATTTATTTATTTATGCATACAGAACTGGGGTACAGGCCAGAGGGGTGGGGGGGGCGAGAGGCTTCACCAGAGACAGAGTGGGGAGCAGAAAAGGCAGATCGATGAAGTACTGCTGAGGGGAGCAGGAGAGGTCTGCCATGCCATGTCTCCTCCAGGGCAGGCGGGAATCGAACTCATGCGGAAGTGGCTTTAGCTTCTTAGTGCTGTGCTTTAACCCGTTGCACCACCAGGGAGGGCCCACATTTGTTTTTAATAAGAAGAAAAGAAAAACCACCACCATTCTTTAGACCCATTGCTCCCATTCCCACTTCTTCCCCTCTGGTAACTTCCATTGTGTAGTCAGAGTCCACTTGTTTATTATTAGTTTGTTTTATCCAGTCATTGGTTTTGTTTCCTTATATTCCACACAGAGATGAGATCATCTGATATTTCTGTCTTTCTGACTTATTTCACTTAGCATTTTCCCCATTGGCTCATTTCACTTTATTATAAATGGCAAGATTTCATATTTTAGAGTTGGGTAGCATCCCATACCGTATATATCCTGTATATACTGTATCTTCTTTATTTAGTCATCTGTCAGTGGCACTTAGGTTTCTTCCACATCCTGGGTATTATAAGTAATGTCATGATAAACACAGGGGTGTGTCTGTCTCTTTGAGTTAATGATTGCATATATTTTTTAAAGATTTATTTATTTATGCATTACAGAACTGGGGCACAGGCCAGAGGTGCAAGGGTGGTAAGAGAATTCACCAAAGACAGAGTAGAGAGTAGAACTGGCCAACTGATGAAGTACACTGCCGAGGGGAGCGTGGGCGGGTCAAGGGAGCTCTGCCGCACCATGTGGGTCACCTCTGGGGTGGGTATCAAACTATGCTGAAGTGGCTTTAGCTTCTTAGTGCTGTGTTTTAACTCGCTGCACTACCAGGGAGGGCCTGACTTCATATTTTTGGAGACACACCCAGAAGCTGGATCATACTGTAGTTCTATTATTTTGAGGATATTTCATACTACTTTCCAAATTGGTTGCACTAATCTAGATTTCCACCAGCAATGTACAAGGGTTCTTTTTAATCCATACCTTGTCTACACTTGTTAATAGTCTATTTGATGTATGCTATTCTCACAGGTATGAGATGATCATGCATGTCGTTTTGATTTGCATTTCTCTAGTAATAAGTGATAATGAACATTTTCTATGCGCCTGCTAACCATCTGTATGTCTTCTTTGAAGAAATGTCTATTCATATCTGCCTGTTTTTTGTGTTTAGTTGTATGAGTGTTTTTTATGCCTTGAACAATAACTCCTTGTAATATGTAAGATACATAATTTTTTTCCCATTAAGTAGGCTGTATTTTCATTCTGTTGATATTTTCTTTTGCTGTACAAAAACTTTTTAATTCAATATACTCCCACTTGTTTATTTACACTTGTGTTTTCCTTGCCACTGGGGACAAGTCTCAGCATAAGACTGATGTCATAGACAAAACTAGCAGGCAAGTTTTAATTAATTAAATTAATTAATCAGCAGAGGAGGGGAAGGGGTTCAAACAGGGATGGGAAGAACACAAGAGACTATGGTGATGATTCGTGGGTGATGTGTTGGAAATTTTACCTGAGAGGAGGAATCAAACATTGTACAAAAATGAACAACAATGTGTGTGTGTGATGCATGCATGCATGTATACACTGATATAATGTAAATATTATACATATGTATAACAAGTACATAAATACTTATAAATTTTTTTTAAAAGAACTAATGTCATAGAGTGTATCACTGTGTTTTCTTCTATAAACTTAATGGTTTTGGTTCTTGCATCCAAATATTAAACTCATTTTGAATTTAAGTAAGGAGTGAGCCAGTTTCATTCTTTTGCATGTGGCTGTCCGATTTTCTCAGCACCATTTGTTGAGATTTCCCTTTCTTCATTGTATGGTTGTGGCTGCGATTTTGCAGATTAACTCTTGACATATGCGTGGATTTGTTTCTGAGTTCTTGATCTACTCCATGGATCCATAGCTTTTTATTCCAGTAATGCGATTTGTATTTTTATTCTAATACCTAATGTTTTAATTACTGTTACTTTGTAGTACTTTGAACTTAAGTAATGAGATGTCTCAGTTTTTCTTCTTTTTACCCTTCAAGATTGATTTAGCTATTTGGGGGATTTATTGATTCTATATAAATTTTAGTTTTGTATGTTCTATTTTCTCTTAAAATTGTCATTGGAACTTTAATAGGAATTGATTTTCTTTATATTGCTGTAGGTAAGATGGCCATTTAACAAAATTAATTCTCTCCATCCATGAATACAAAAATCTTTCATTTCTGTGTTTTATATTATTTCCTTTAGCAATATCTTGTAGTTTTTGTAGTTGTAGTTTGTATGTCCTATGTTCAATTTATTCCTAGGTATTTAATCATTTTTGATACAACTGTGAGAAGGTTATTTGCTTAATTCCTTTTATTCTAGCTCATCTTTTACATATAGGAATACAACAGATTCTTGTATATTGGTTTTATATCCTTCCATATTACTATAATTATTATTTCTAATAATTTTTTTAAAAATTTATTTATTTATGCATACAGAACTGGGGTACAGGCTAACGGTGCAGGGGCGGTGAGAGGATTCACCAGAGACAAAGTGGGGAGCAGAACAGGCCGACTTATGAAGTATACTGCTGTTGGGTGGGAGGGCGGGGGCAGGAGCGGGAGAGGTCTGCCACACCATGTGGGTCACCTCCAGGGCGGGGATCAAACTCATATTGAAGTGACTTTAGCTTCTTAGTGCTATGCTTTAGCCCGCTGTGCCACCAGGGAGGGCCCTATTTCTAATAATTTTTTACTGAGGACTTTAGGGGTTTCAATGTATATTATCATGTCATCCACAAATAGTGATAGTTTTGCTTCCTTCCTGTTTTTCAGTCAAGATTCCTTTTATTTTTTACTGGTGTCTAATTAGCTAAGACCGCTATACTAAATTAGATAGAAGTAGTGACCATGGATACTCAGTTTAAAGAAGAAGCAAGTTCCAATAAAGGGTGTGGCTTCTCTAGGTCACCTCATCCCCTACTCTGTCCTAAAGTCTAAAGATCATGAGCTAACCTCAGCTCATTAGACCTTATCTTTCCGGCCTGTCCAGCCCCATACTTTTTTCTCCAAATACATGTTTGCTTTTAAGTTTACTTTCGTACTTAACAAGTTATCACCAAAATTTACCAGTCCTGGTTCTAGTCCCTTTTTTCTCACAACTTGGTGTCTGGTGTAGAGAAAAACACTAGACACAGGGCTTACACAGAATCGTCTGGATTTCACTGGGGATTAGCCCAGCCACTCCTTTGAACCTATAGTCCTCAGAACCATTTAAACATTGTCCAGGGTCCACTGCCTTTGCTTGGTCCTTCTGTCATGCATTTGAATTCCTCACAAATCCCTTATAAAATTGAATGAAAAAAAATGTATTACGTATTCAGAAAGCACCAAGGACTATACTATGAAGTTGTGTATTCTCTCACCCAGTCCTCACAATAACCTGTTAAAACAGGTTCTACTCTCATTCTTGGTTTGCAATAAAATAAATAGACAGGAGGAGGTTAAGCAGTGCGCCCAAGAGAGCACAACTAGTACGTGGAAGAGCTGGATCTGAACTTAAGTCTGGATGACTCCAGGACTCACGTTCTGGAAATTCTTCCTGGTTTAACATGAAAATTGTTTTCTCCTTCTCTCCATCCACCTCTGTTTATAGTCTCAGGAGGAAGTCTGTGATTTGCTCCACGCTGCGCCCTTCCAAAACATCCTACCGAGAGTTTATATTAAAGGTAAGAAGCCACCCACAACAGCTGATGGCCAACTTGCATTGTAACCTCACATTCACTTAATCCCTACAGACTTAAATCTGCAGTCAAAAAGGGAGAAGTGGAAAGATTTTGTCACAGAATTACGAAATTGAAAATCCTTCTAGACCGTCCCTAGTATGTCGTTGGCCAGCCTTGATTTAAATCCTTCAAGTGATTGGACAGAGATGATTGAACATTGTTCTTTGTGGTGGGTTCCGATCACGCTTTCCAGAACAGGCCTACATGTTCTTCCATCTGCCCACAATCTTCCCTTCTCTAGTGTACACCTCTACCCCCACCAAGTACCCAAATCTCATTTTCTGTCTTGCTCTCCTGTTACAGAGGGGGAACGCCTGGAGGTACGGATGAAACGCCTGGAAGCCAAGTACGCCCCACTTCACCTGGTCCCTCTGATCGAGAGGCTTGGGACACCCCAGGTATAAAGAAATTGAGAACCTAAAGGAACTTTAGAGGGAGAATATTTGGCCCTTTTAAAAGGAAACTGAGGCTCAGAAAAAGTAGAGAGTGGCTACCTCACACAGGCTGTTAGTGGCCAGGGCAGCTCTTGAAAGAGGTTGCTGACTTTTAGGCTCGAGTTATTTCTTCTCTAGATCATCCACCCTGCCACGCAAGAAGATGGTCAGACATGTGTCTGTTAAGTAGCAAACATATGCATAATTTTCTCAGAATTCAAACTCCATCTACTCTGTGAACCAGCTGTTTACTTCTGGATACCTTTGCTAGGGAAAATGGCATATAAGAATTCCAGATGTTTATTGTAGCATTGTTTGGTAAAGTGAAAAACAGGAAACAACCCAAATGTCAAGAACTAAATAAACTGTGGTATAGCAGCTCAGTGCTGAATAATTGCCACAAAATAATGAAAAGGAAGACTTTAATCTAGATGCATTGTGTGGTCAGACCTTAAATACAAAGCTAAGTGGAGAAAGCAGAGTTGCACTATATAGAATGATACCACTGAAAAACACAAAAGCAACCATAGATGTAAAACTTTTAGTAGAAACAAACACAGAGCTGCTTCATATTGGCGGT